AAACCAGGGTAATTTCTTCATGGGGAAATTGTGACACTAATCCACCTGAAAATCTTGTTTATGGAACAATTAGTCCTGAAAATCTGTTTTCTTGAGCTGTGATTTTCCAGAGCTGCCTCTGAGATTATTTTTTGTTTGGTTTTGTTCACAGCAATTCCTGCACCTATCTGAAAAAAAAGGATGAAATATAATGTCCTTGACTGTAAATGACTGTCACTTTTTAGGTCAGTGAGAAAGGCTCTGGAGAACATAGGTCCTACAGTCGGTCTGTCCATTCATGTCCAGGCTGCTACAGGGGGTGGAACATTGTGGTCCCTGTCTTTCCCCATGCCTAGATGAACAATATCTACCAGGTACACCAGGCTCACTCTGCATGCACAAAGTAGTTGTACATTAGGCAAGGCACAACTGGTAGCCCAGACAAGTGTGATAGGTCTATCAGAGGCTACAGATGTCCTGCAGGATTCTATTACTGCTTGCAGAAAAGTGAGACAATTTCTTTTGTCCTCTAACGCCAGAGGAATGATGAACCATAGATGGAATTGTAACTTTGTTTAAAGAGGTTAAAAAAGATAAATAGAAAAAATGTAAAGGCAGCACATCCAAACTCACAAGAAAAAAACCATAATGCAATGAATAGATTATTGCAGATCTTAGCAATAAAAACAGCAGGAACAAGATGATGAAATTCCATTATGTCAGAAACACTGAAGTTTTCCTTTGTCTTTCTACCAGAAGCCCTCCTTATATCACTGAAGTAACACCCTTAGGGAGTTTACTTGTTCACATAAAATGGGGAAAATACTAATTTATGACAGATAAAATCCAAGTCACTTTTAAATAATCCACATTTAGACATCAAAAACTGTATCTACAGTTAGCCACTTGAAATATGTTAGAAAAACAAGAAAGGGAATGTACAAATGCTGGGTTACATTTAATAAAGTATTTAAAAGGTGAGAAGTCAGAATTTAATTTTACATGATTTGGCCAATGACCCCACAAGTGAATAGCACTGACAAAAGAAACAGTCTCTTAGGAAAAAAACGTGCTCTTTCTCTATGTATATGGTTTATTTGTTCAAATGGAGCTGAACAAATAAATATATTAAAGTAAGGAGAGTCTTATTAAATGGAGTGGCTAATATAAAAAATACATGAAGCATCACATGCAGCCCAGTTTTGTTCAGGCTTCATCCAGACCAAGAGCTATAGGAATTGTAGAACAAGCTTTTTTACTATCACTTTCTAAAATTCCAGTTCTGACAAGATAAGTTATATTTTACTAGATGCACTAATACAACTAAGTTAAAACTTGGAAGAGAGCCTAACATTTCAGAGGACTTTAGTTAACACATTGACCTACTTGGTCTTCTACCACATCTCATTTTTTCTCCCACACGCTGTTAGTACACTTCAGAGAGGCGCGTCTTTAATTTGAAACTGTATTACTTTCTCAAAGTCTTCATTAATCAGCAATGCGTGAGTTAAAAATTTACTAAGATTTGTCTGGACAATCTGGGAAAAAAATGATCAAGTGATTCTAAGTCTGAACTAAATTCTGTTTGTTTCTTATCTGCATATATGTAACTTTTCAACAAATCTTCTTTGCAGAGAATTGTGAAAATTTGAAAAGACATGTTTTTGCAAAATGCTAGATGACAGGTACAGGCCATAGCTAAGGTGCACAGATAACATAGCACACAGATCCCCAGATTACTATCAGGTGAGCTATCTTCAGGACTGGAAGCCATCGAGGTGGGTGGCACTGTGGCACTGAACTTAATACTGCTTCTGAGATCTGAGTTCTTGTCTCTCCAGTGTGCCAAGGAGATACACCATTTCAGTTAAAACAGGCTTCAGCTTTAGTAATAGCACACTGAATTCAACAGTTGAGACATACCCAAGGAGTGATTTTGGATAGATTATAGAGTGTGGTGGCATCTGAAAAGGGATGAATGGTAGGGTCACAACAAACTGCAGGTTTTTCACCTCAAAATTAACCATAATTAACTGAAGAAAGGATAAATTTCCAGAAACGTGAATGAAAGAAAGGTGGGAGGAAGAGAGATTCCCAGACAGGTTTTGAGGCCATGTTTTTCATATAAGAAGGGAAGAATTAGGGCCAGATTAAGAGACAGCTAGAAGGAAAAGGACCCCACGTAGCAGGTGCAGCTGACAGATTCCCCCCACCAGTCTGGGTTTGGTACATGAGCATCTCGAATAGGAGAGGGGCGAGGTCACTGTGCTGTGCTATACCTCATATTCATGCAAACATCTTCAGAACCTGTCATGAATTGAAGCATGTATGCACTGCCATCACGTGAGACAGCACACAGCCTTAGGTACCTGGCCCAGGAAATGAGGAGGCAGAATGGCCCCCATCTCTGCCTCCAAACCCAGCTCACTGAGTTTCTCTCTTTCCATTCTCTGCCACTGCCTGCCCTCACCATACTGGTGGGAGGAAGGACTCTTTGGTCCCCTCTGCTGCTCCTTACACAGATGACAGAGAGTAGTTAATAACGGTGTTTCTCCTCACTGTGGGTAAACTGCTATATGTGCGACCCTCCAGGAAAGATAAGTAAGGCTATTAATGAAAATAACAATATGAGTTGAAAGACCAGACTTCCCTGGAAGTTTCACCCAGGCTACCAAAGCCTGCCTAGTGCAAAACTAGCTGCTGAAGAGTTTCCCATGCTGCCTTTCCCTGGCACCTTCAATGCTGGATGCACAAGCCATATGAAAAGGGGAAAGGAGCAACAGGTGTTTTGGAAATTTATACGATCCCTGTTTTAAATCTGCTTAAAATCTGTTTATTTTGCTAGAAAAGTGCAAAGAGGCCCTGGCAGACAACACAAAATTAATTATTTTGCATGCATTGTGTAACACTATTCAGTAGCTTTACATGAGTGGTGAGAGGTCAGTCAAGAATAGAATCCCATTGTGTTAAACTTCAAAGAGCTTGCCATGTAATTGAATGCAGCAGGCATGGAATAAAGGAATTAAATATGCAGGCAGAATTAACGCTAATGGTTTGCAAACATCACATTGCAAACATCTACAACTTCTTTGTCTAAATTCTTGGGTTGCGATCTTGGGGGAAGGCGATTAGGTAAGCAACAAAAACAAATAAAAGGAAGAATACTGAAGCAACATGCATAAAACACATGGAGAAAGGAAAAGCGTAATGGGATCTGAACGCTATCGTGCATCCAACTTCTCATGTATTAGCACATAGATTTACAGCATACATTAAGCACTAGCCTACATATGCCTTTCTGCTGTTGTTTTCTGCATAGGAAGTACGCCACATGTAGAGCCACAAGAGAGACATTTTAGCAAAAGTGGTAAAGTTCTGACCATATATACCGCACAGCTAGCTTTTGCTCTGCAGAACGATGAGAATACTGCGAGTCAGTAAATGGTATGATTTAAATTTGAAAATAGCTCCCCAGAATCTGCTGAATCCATTCCGAGTTAACTAGCAGGAGAACATCACCATTCAGTGTTCTGGGTCCATCTGTTGGCAATATCATGATTGAAACAGCTTTTAAAATGCTATTTTCAATAAGCTATCACACAACAGCTTGTTCCAACAATATTCCAATACCTTTCTGTTTGCTTACCGCCTCCTATAAAAAACAGCTTAGAGGGAAGGAGGCATTTCAGTATACTGATGTAGGGTGGGAGGGACAGAGAGACTACAGGAACAAAGCAAAATGAGAAGCAGCTATAAAAAGAGAAAAGGAGAAGAAGCTGTTATTTTAGACCCCCTGCAATCTAGATTTAAACCAGGTTGTGGAACCCAAACTTCTGTAGCATCACAGAGGGATGGGCCGCACCAGTCAGTTGTTAGAATTATTGTGCATTGACAGTGTCAGCCATAGGAAACCCATGGCTCCTAGAGAGAAATGGCAGGTGCACCTAATAATTATGTCTAATTCTGCAAGACCTTCTGAACTGTGTACTCCAATGAGTATTGAAAGGAAGATCCACCTCCATCACTGTAACACGTTTACTTGTGCAACACCAAAACAATCTGTCCTACATAATTCTCACCAAAATATCATGTATCCATCAGCTTACTTCTCAAGTAACACAAATGCCAGCAACATACTGATGATGCAAAGCCTGCATCCACTAGCATCAAAGCGGCTCAGCTGCAGAGATCAACTCAGCAATGAAGAACAGATGGCTGCATTTTAACCCAATAGGACAGGAATAGAAGTTCTTATGGTTCACACCAGAAAAGTTTCACAATTAGTCAGTTCAGTGTGTAGTTGTCACAGCTAGCTTTGGCATGCCAGTTTAAGCAGGGAACTAGATAATCCCCTCAGGTTTCTTCTGATCTGTGTTATCCTATGATCCTGTGGTTCTAAAATAAACTTCTCTATGCTGATTACCTCTGTACTACCAAATTAAGTTCTAAGATTTATTTTAAAGCTTTTATTTTAAAAGGCTGTGCACCTTAGAGAATTATAAGGGGCACTCAAGTCTTCCATGCATTAAGCGTCTTGTTTACCAAACTCTATTAGAAATACATATAATTAGGAAGGATGGAAGTTGAGAAGCAATACTACACAAGAAGGTAAACTAAAGAATGTATGAAACATTATGGGACCGTGTAAATGGAGACACAGAAAGAGGGAAGAAAACCTGAAAAGGTAACAGGGAATTTATACTGATAAAAACAGGTCATAAACTTGGAAGAAAAGTAATAGTACTAATACAAAATATTACATAAAGATTTCATTCATTATTAATGCTATAAGAAAGATGTACTGATATCTCTCTGCACATTGTTGCCTCATACATAAAATATTCTATCTTCTGCTATCAAGATTGCTTTCTAGGTACAAAAAACATTTTGTGTTCTGTTTATCTGTTTTTGACCTATTCGTATGTGTATAATGATAAAATCCTCTTAAAATACATGCATGATAGTCTGCTTTTAAAATGAAAAATACAAGTAATAAGAGGATGCTTATGGCGATCACCTACCTGAGGACGTATAACTTTCACTATGTTTTTAAGTGCGGTGTCTGGTGATGGAGGAGAGCAGTCAGGTGTTGGGCCTGTAGAGCTGTTTCTATGGTTACCAGATCCTGGTGCGGTAATTGCTACCTGAGGTGCATTATCTGTGAACAAAAATAGCATTTATGTGAACTTACAAATACTTCATAAATTTTAAAATAAAAATTATTTTGAAAACAGAATGCTACTCAGAACACTTTCAACTTACAAAACCTATTATAATTGAAATGTATTTGGTAAGGAGTATATCACATATCCACACATATTTATCAGCCCATACGTCCATTCTATGTTAAGGCATGATATAGCACTCTCTTAATACCTAAATAAAATAAGGCACAAAACAAACACAACTATTTTACCTTTGTTACCCTGAATTACTGATTGTGAATCCAAATACTAGCACTGTAACAGGGGTGACTTAAAAAAGAGCTTTCTAATGCAACTCGTATCTCATCCTGGAAAATCCTAACACACAGGACCCAGTTCAACAAGTTGTATAAAAACACACTCAACTTAGAGCATGCTAATAGCCATCTGTGACAACCTTCCTGGACACTGTGAGTGACATAATGGATCAGCGAGGATTAATTGCACAAAAATGTACACGGCTCCTCTGATGAAATTTCCATCCTCCATAGAGCTGTGCAGTGCAGTAGCTACTTTTCTAGCAGTATGTCAGCTAGATAACCTACAGCTGGTTTAAAAGTCTCTACATACCTGCAGGTATGTGAGAAATGCTGTTGGGACATATTTGGTGACGCTGTTACCATTTTATGGCACTGTGAAGGACCATTAAAGGGACTAAAAGTATCATTCTTACCTTCTCTAAATGTTCTTAATGCTGTTTGAACAATGTAAAGTTAGCGAAAATCAGGTCAGAGGATAGAGAGGACTATGAAATAAGCCATAGCTTCCCAGCTGTGATGGTAACTAAGCACCAGAATGACTTAGCAGGAGGCCAAAAGCTCCACATTACTTCATGCCTTTAGAATTGTATTATTAAAGAAATTCTTTAGTTCAGATTCTGGGGGAAAAGCCACTGCCTGTGGATGGTCACGGTGGTCTTTACAGTGTCTGTGAATTTATAGAGTACCTTTCTTTGTGGGTCACAAAGACATGTGCTCCACGTTCCTAAATGTGCTGTAACACCTGCAGCTCTGCATTAAGACAATGATTACGTTCAAATCTCATGTCTGTGGGCCTTAACCGACAGCCTGCAGAGTTCACAGAAGAAAGCCTATTTATTTGCAATTGAGGTGGAACTCCAATACACTCTATGGGCAAATCCACTCCAAAAAATCCCAAACTCCAAATAAACAAAAGCAGCTCCAGTGCTGTAAGCTAGAGAATTTTTGCCTAATCAGCTTCTGCAGGAACAGACATAATCTCCTCCACCTGCACAAGTCACAAATGCCTCCTTGAACGCAATGACAGAAGCTTCTCCCTCTCAGTCCTACTGACCTGAAAGAATTCTTGGAAGTATAATAGAGATTTCAAAGGGGAGGAAAATTCCACTTACATTAACACAGCTGACAAAGGATAAAGAAGAATAGTTGCAAGAACGTAAACTTTATGGCCTTTCCAACTTACAGATACTTCCATAGCATGCATGATTCTAAGAAATACTCCCCGTAGAAACACTACGTATCTGACTGAGGTCTTAAAGATCCTGGTCAAATACAAATCAACAAACTGTTCTTCTAAAGGAAATGCCAGGCTGGAATGTTTCAGCAACACTGTTACACTTAATGAAAGTGCAAATGAAAGTTCAGGTGGCAGTCTGGCAGACATCCAGAATGGAGACATCCTGTACATAACCTCAGGTGTTACCTGAGGTCTGGCAGAGTGAACCCTCCCCGTCACAGAGACAGACAATTCCAACTTTGTTGAAAAGCATCCACATCGAAACTGCCAGTCCTTTGGGTGTGCAGTCTTAAGACATAGACTGGCTCTTCCTGAATCATTGCAAGTGTGGGAAGAAATCTTGGATCTGAATTAATTTCATTCATAAAGTAACACATATGTGTTAATACAATGGATCAAACAAATCTTTTACAGCCTGAGAAAGGAACTTAAGGTGAATCCTCATAATAACATTCCTAACATGGAAGAACTTGGATGGCATTCCAGAAACACTTAAGTCTCACTTATGCTTTCCTGTCTGGCCTGGCATCTATCTGAAAAACTGTTTATGTGCAGGATGTGAATGAGCTGAGAGGGGATCTCATCAACATGTACAAATACCTCAAGGGTAGATGTCACGAGGACAGAGCCAGACTCTTTGCAGTGGTGTCCAGCAACAGGACAAGGGGCAATGGGTACAAACTGAGAGGGACAGGGATTTGACAAGAAGGCACCCCACCAAGGCTTTGCCATGGAAATTTCATAGTGAGGATAAATAAATATGTAAATATGAGTGCTAGGACCATCTTAATTCAGCTGCAAGTCTTATCCTCTTTTGCTCCAGAATATGAAATATCATCTTCTTTCAGTCTATGGACAGACTTGTCAATGGATAATTATCAGTGAACCTCCCTGACTGAGGAATGAGAGACTTGCTTTGAGAGTCCCCCCAAACAAGGGACTATACTGCTGCCAAGACATGTGGTAATGCAGGCACCACCTAGGAAGCTAAGAAATAACTTCTAGAGTAAGAAATGTCTCACATGAGTCTAGGTAAGTGTATTTAGTACACTCATTTACTTCCTGGTGTGAGAAACAAACAGAACGATTTTCTCTGACAAACTGCTAAACCTGTAGAGAACACAAACTCCCCCATACTTCAGTGGTCCCTGAGTTTCGGTTGCTGCTGTTCTGCTGTGAAGCCTGTGTGGCTGTGCTTAAGCACAGCTGCCCTTTAGCTGCTTAGGAAAGACCCCAGCTTCTTTTTGACCCTGTTCAATGATAGGTCATCGAAGACTACGTTTTGCCCCTAGACACAGTCCCACTTGAGAATCATCCAACTGACTGGAAGTGAAATTCTTGGAATGAAAATTTATTGGAAGATATCAATGAGGAGAGGCAGGGCTGTTGTATGCCCTGCTAGACAGGGCTAAGAAAATCTTCTCCAGCTACAGCATGTGAATACAACGATAACGAATTCAGGAACATGCATAATATGCAGCAATCTAAAAAAAAAGAGTAGTTACAGTCTTTCCTTCCAAGAAAACTAAAGTGGTAATACAAAAAAAAGAATCATGCTATTAGAATCTAAAAATAAAGCTTTAAAAAAAAATCAAATATTTTTCTTTGAAATAAACATCCCAGAAAAAAATCCAACTGCTCAGTATTTCATGCCTTCGTTCCTTTCTCAAGGGAATGAAGCGTCTGACATGTAATGGTTTCTTGTAAACAATTTCTTTATTGTGGACAGCTGTTTATTTTCACAGTAGGATCTTCCCATTAGGCAACCAGTAATGATTTACTACCTGAGTCTGCTCCATCAGAGAGAGAACATCACCATCAAATTAGTTCCTGCAACCAATTTGGGCAACTTCTCTGTTTTTGTATACAGTCTCATAGTTCCATTAAGAATAGATTTGAATATATTTTTGCTTTGTAATTAAATGATATAATAATGATGGTTTGATTTTCTCTTTCTCAGGTAACAAAACTAAATCAAACATTGTTTTTTCTCCCTTTAGGTAACTGTAATCACAGAATTGCAAGGGTTGGAAAGGACCTCGGGAGATCACCTAGTCCAACCCCCCTGCTAAAGCAGGGTCACCTAGAGCAGATTGCACAGGACTTCATCCAGGTGGGCTTTGAATATCTCCAGAGAAAGA